TGTGGAGAAAGTAGTAGTAATTTCTGGAGAAAGTAGTAGTAATTTCTGGAGAAATTTCTGGAGAAAGTATTAGTAATTTCTGGAGTAATTTCTGGAGAAATTAGTAGTAATTTCTGGAGAAAGTAGTAGTAATTTCTGGAGAAAGTAGTAGTAATTTCTGAAGAAAGTAGTAGTAATTTCTGGAGAAAGTAGTAGTAATTTCTGGAGAAAGTATTAGTAATTTCTGGAGAAAGTAGTAATAATTTCTGGAGAAAGTAGTAGTAATTTTTGGAGAAAGAAGTAGTAATTTTAGGAGAAATTTCTGAAGAAAGTATTAGTAATTTCTGAAGAAATTGCTGGAGAAAGTGGTAATAATTTCTGGAGAAAGTAGTAGTAATTTCTGGAGAAAGTATTAGTAATTTCTGGAGAAAGTAATAATAATTTCTGGAGAAAGTAGTAGTAATTTCTGGAGAAAGTAGTAGTAATTTCTTGAGAAATTTCTGGAGAAAGTATTAGTAATTTCTGGAGAAATTTCTGGAGAAAGTAATAGTCATTTCTGGAGAAAGTATTAGTAATTTCTTGAGAAATTTCTGGAGAAAGTATTAGTAATTTCTGGAGTAATTTACGGAGAAAGTGGTAGTAATTTTTCCCCTTGAAATCTTTTATGATCAACTGTAATATTCAAATATTTCCAAATTTTATGCTGAAGAACACTCGTCTGAAATTGTTCCACTTTTTTTAGATTGTTGTTTTTGTAGACTGGTAAACCTACATCTAAGAGATTCAGCTGCTCTAAAATGCTCTTTTTATACCAAGTTCTCTTACTGACCTGTTGCCAGTTAACCTAATTAATTGTTCCTCTAGCTGTTTATACGTACTGGTACTACTTTTATTTACAGCCTGCTGTTGTCCGTGTCCCAGCTTTTTTTTTTTTTTAAAGATATGTTGCTGCCATAAAATGCAAAATTACATTTTATTTCCAGAAAATGGCACAATTCCTTAGTTAAACATATGATATGTTTATCATGCGTCACTGTAAACAAAACATGGGTTTATGAAATTTGCAAATCCTTATTTGAGCTTTACAGAACATCCCAACTTTCTTAGAATGGTGCAACTTTTCAGTGAAACGTGAGCAAAAATGTATAACTCACTTTGTTTAAAGGCGTGATAAACGTTGAGCAGCGTCAGGTGGTCTCCATCGATGTGGGAGAAGCGCATCTTGGCCTCGTCGGCCATCTTCTTGGCCTCCGTGGGTCGGACAAAGCACTGCGGGACTAAACAAGGTTGGTATAGGCCCCAACACAGCCGCCCACAGGGATAAGTTAAGCAAATCCCACAGAGAGGAACAAGGCCTCATCTGAAGAGAGGCACAGAGCACTTCACAGGGCATTGCCAAGTGTTGATGGGGGGGTAAGTGGAGGGGTTTGAGAGAAGGGAGGGAGGATGGGAATGAAAACAAGTGCTCCATCTAACTGACCTGATACAGTAAAGTAAAAACCACCCGCCCTCTTTCTCTGCTCTCCCCGAGTTGCTTAACATCGAACGCACCTGAATGCGCCTTTAATGGATAAAAGCCGTGTTTATTGAGCCTCGTGGCCAGTTGCCGTGACAGCACCGTTCCTCAGGTGTGCTCCAGCTGCTTACTTTAATGAACTCAGCGAAAACCTTCCATCCTGAAACACCTGCTTTAAGTGCACGCCACGTCCAAGCAGCTAGTTAAATCCATTTCCCTCGCTCTCACAGACCCTCCTGCTCCCCCCCTTCAAAGACGTCAAGATTCATCTCAATGAGCAGCATTCTGCTTTGGCAAGCCCAAAGTGCAATTACTGCCAAAGCATGCTGGTCCTACTCAAACTACACCTATACATTTTGCTCAGACATGTACTTTTTACCTCCCTCTTCCACACAAACAGCTGACACCACTGACTTTATACTCTACTTGCCTTGTGGTTAAGTCCTGGGGGGGCACACGTGTATTCAAAAAAGACATAAACATCTACAATATGGACTTTTGTAGAATTCATCAGTAGTCAATCAAGTATATTAAAACTACAATAGTCACAGCTTATAACAAATTGAAGTACCGTATTTTCCAGGCTATACGTCACTCCAGAGTATAGGTTGCATCAGTCAAAAAATGCAAAATGAAGAGGAAAAAAAACATACAAGTCCCTTCGGACTATACGTCACAGGACTGGCCAAACTATGAAAAAAAAAAGAGCGATTTATAGACCAAAAAATACGGTATGAATCAAACTGTGTCTTTAAAATCTCAACTTCAGCACAACTACAATAAAGACCCAGCCTTCTAGAGTATGTGTTGAGAGTGATGATCAGCTACTATCACACTAAAGTTTAGCTTAATATCTGTAAATGTAGCTAGAGCTATATTTCGGTTAGATAATGTTGATTAGCTGTGGCAGCCACCTTGAACAGGGTCGACTCCAAATGATGAGTTGTAGATGTACAGTCAATGATTATTTAATGAGGGTTTTATTAAAAGCTGTAAAGTAATTCTTGAGATATTTTGCTAACAGAGACAGGACTGACACCAACAGCTAATGCCAAAGTGTTAAGCAAAAATATTGTCCTCTGAGTATATGTTGGGGAGGATTCTCAGCTACTACCACGCCACATTTTAGCTCAATATCTGTAAAATTGACTGAGTTAAAGCCTTTTTTTTTTGTTGTTTGTTAGCTAAAGTTTATTAGGAGTGGCAGCATCTTGATTAGGGTTAACTTAAAATGTTACTTGTAGAATTTATATCAAATTATTATTCTGTTGAGAGTTTAATTAAGTCAGGTAATGCAAGATCAGAATTTTGTGTTAATGGATGTGGAGTTCCTCAGGGCTCTGTGTTGGGACCAAAGTTGTTTATTTTGTATGTGAATGATCTGGTTGATGTGTCAGGACTTTTGAAGTGTGTTTTATTTGCAGATGATACCACATTTTTTGTTCAAGTGAAGATGTTGAACGGATGTTAGAGATGATACAGGCAGAATTCGTAAAAATAAAAACTTGGTTCCAACTTAATAAGTTATAATTAAATTTGGAAAAAACAAACTACATTATATTTAGTAATAGAAAGAAAATTATCAAAGTCACATTTAAAATTGACAGTATTGAAATTCATAGAGTTAATGAAATCAAATTTTTGGGTGTCGTTAATGATGAGAATCTGACATGGAAATCTCATGTAAATTATTTAAGAAAAAAATAGCAAAATCAATTGCATTACTGTATAAAATAAAAGAGTTTTTAAATGACAAAGCTTTAGATATATTGTATAATGTAATGATTGTTCTATATTTAATCTATTGTATTGAAGTTTGGGGAAAATCATGCAAAACAATACAAACCCTATTTTTATTTTGCAAAAGAGAGCTATAAGAATTATTAGTAGGAAGTGCTATGGTCACCCAACAAATATATTATTTCATCAATTGAAATTATTAAAATTTTATGATTTGGTTGAATATAGTATTTTACAAGTCATGTATAAAGCTCATAAAAATATTACCCCCAAATATTCAATTAAAATTTGTTAAAAAAAGAGAGTCATTTAAACCTTAAGGGGATGGAAATGTTTGTAAAACCTCCATTTACAAACCGGATTCCAAAAAAGTTGGGACACTAAACAAATTGTGAATAAAAACTGAATGCAATGATGTGGAGGTGCCAACATCAAATATTTTATTCAGAATAGAACACAAATCACAGACCAAAAGTTTAAACTGAGAGAATGTATCATTTTAAGGGAAAAATCTGTTGTTTCCAAATTTCATGGCGTCAACAAATCCCAAAAAAGTTGGGACAAGTCCATTTTTACCACTGTGTGGCATCCCCCCTTCTTCTTACAACACTCAACAGACGTCTGGGGACAGAGGAGACCAGTTTCTCAAGTTTAGAATTAAGAATGCTCTCCCATTCATGTCTAATACAGGCCTCTAACTGTTCAATTGTCTTGGGCCTTCTTTGTTGCACCTTCCTCTTTATGATGCGCCAAATGTTCTCTATAGGTGAAAGATCTGGACTGCAGGCTGGCCATTTCAGTACCCGGATCCTTCTCCTACGTAGCCATGATGTTGTGATTGCTGCAGAATGTGGTCTGGCATTATCGTGTTGAAAAATGCAGGGTCTTCCCTGAAAGAGATGACGTCTAGATGGGAGCATATGTTGTTCTAGAACCTGAACATAGTTCTCTGCATTAATGGTGCCTTTCCAGACATGCAAGCTGCCCATGCCACAAGCGCTCATGCAACCCCATACCATCAGTGATGCAGGCTTCTGAAAGGAGCGTTGATAACAACTTGGGCTATCCTTGTCCTCTCTGGTCCGGATGACATGGCGTCCCAGTGTTCCATAAAGAACTTCAAATCGTGACTCATCTGACCACAGAACAGTCTTCCATTTTGCCACACTCCATTTTAAATGACCCCTGGCCCAGTGCAAACGTCTGAGTTTGTGGAGCTTGCTTAGAAATGGCTTCCTCTTTGCACTGTAGAGTTTCAGCTGGCAACGGTGGATGGCACAGTGGATTGTGTTCACTGACAATGCTTTCTGGAAGTATTCCTGAGCCCGTTCTGTTATTTCCTTGACAGTGGCATTCCTGTTTGAGGTGCAGTGACGTTTAAGGGCCCGGAAATCACGAGCATCCAGTAGAGTTTTACGGCCTTGACCCTTACGCACAGCAATTGTTCCAGATTCTCTGAATCTTTTGATGATGTTATGCACGGTTGATGATGATAACTTAAAAGTCTTTGCTATTTTACGCTGGGTAACACCATTCTGGTATTGCTGCACTATCTTTCTGCGCAACAATGGTGGAATTGGTGATCCTCTTACCATCTTGGCTTCTGAGAGACACTGACACTCTGAGAAGCTCTTTTTATACCCAATCATGTTGTCAATTGACCTAATTAGTGTTAATTGGTCTTCCAGCTGTTCGTTATATGTTCAATTTCCTTTTTCCAGCCACTTATTGCTACTTGTCCCAACTTTTTTGGGATTTGTTGACACTGTGAAATTTTGAATCAACATATTTTTCCTTTAAAATGTTACATTTACTCAGATTAAACTTTTGATCTGTCATCTATGTTATATTACGAATAAAATATTGACATTTGCCATCTCCACATCATTGCATTCAGTTTTTATTCACAATTTGTTTAGTGTCCCAACTTTTTTGGAATCCTGTTTGTAGAACTAGTCTGAAGGAGCTGCGTTGTAATTCAAGGAATAGGATTATGGAATTGTCTTGATATCACCATAAAAATGTCTAAAACAATGTATATTTTTAAAAAGATGATTAAGGTAAAGTTGTTGGGAAGGGATGGTGCCAGGTGAAGAATACCTAATGTTTTTTGTTTCACTTTGGAGATTGTTCAAGCCTGAGTTGTTGTTTGTAGTTGTTTTATATATTTTTTAAATAAGGAGCAGATATTATAAGAATTTTTATCTTCTTTCTACAGCCTTTTCATTCAGTGTTTTTTTTCTTTTTGATGAATTTGTTTTGTTTATTTGAACAGAATGATTGAATGAATAAATAAATAAATAAATAAAAGTCATTTACTGGTTTACTATTGCTACAGACAAACAAATATATTTAAAAAAATTATTGAGATTTAGAAGATTTAGGCGCAGCTTTTCATATTTCCTCTAAGATCTCTCGTCACAAGAAATGGAGCAGCAGCTCAGACCCGAGCAGCGGGCCGGCCCTGAGCATTACCTGACAACATGGCAGTGATGGAGAGGACCTCGTTGGAACAGTTGAAATCGCAGCTGGCGATGACCATCTTGGCGAGCTGGGGGTCCAGGGGGAACTCTGCCATCATGGAGCCCAGCTCGGTGAGGTCACCATCGTCGTTCAGCGCTGCCAGGTAGTTCAACAGCTCGAGGGCTCGCATCAGGGTCTCTGGGGCTGAGGGAGCGGTAGATACAGGGTGGGTGGACAGAATGGGAGCGATGGGCTGTTAAAGTGTTCCAAGGCCAAGAGCGGGAAAAAAAAACTCACAACACAGGTGGTAGATCTGGACAATTTGCAAAACTGCCATTCTTGCAATGGCAGCAATACTTCAGAAGTAAAATGTGGAACTGTTTCACCCAAATCTATGTCAGATTTGATTAATACGTACTTTCATAGTAGAGCTTTATGCTCAGATCACCTCGTGATGAGAGATGACAAAGTTGCAGTTGTTTAGTCGAGCTTTGTAGATTATGTTTGGCCCAGTCTGTGCTGAGAATGACTCTCAGCTACTACCACAACAAATTTGAACTTGATTCTTGTAAAACTGACAAAGTTGTTGTTATTTTTCTATTAGCTAATTTAAATTTATTTGGTAGTCATCTTGAATTAGACTGACTTGTTGTAAATCCAAGGACTACTTTTAGAAAATTTTATTATAGGATTCTCTGACTCCCGGTATTTGGAACAATAGACCTTATTTGATAAACCAAATACTTCAGCAATAAAAATGAGACTGAAAAATACTGAATGCTGTTTAGTTTTTTTAATTAAATAAATAAATTGACACACAGACATCGCCATTTTATTTATGTTGCCGTGTATTCTGGGTAAATGCTATAAATGCTGTTGCTTCAGGTCAAGCTCCATTCAGCTTGAATGATAATTTTGGATATTATCTGATGTTCAGCCCTTCAATTTGAACTCTAATGCATTGTCAGAGAGGAGAACAGAGAAACGACTCAGCTTTTGTGCTCCAGTGCTAATACTTGTGAAGTTAGCCCCAGAGCTAATAGCATTACGGCCAAAGCTATAATATAGTATATATCAATAGCTCCAGAACCAATAGTATTTAATCCAGAGCTAATATTTATGATGCCTTCTAAAGAGCTAATATATTTGTAATTTGCTTCAGAGTTAATATATATTTATAGCGTTTAGAGCTAGTAGCATTTTATCCAGAGCTAATATTTGTGGCGTTAGCTCCGGGTTTAATAAAAATCACAAGTTGATCATCACATTTGATTGTTTTGACCTATATATTGTGCATAAGAACTAATACAAAATATAACTTTATTGTCACGTTATAACTTTTTAGCCTTGACCCCTTGTGTTTTTGTCTCCACTACAAATCGATGTATGTCATTGCCCCAGAATGCATTGCATTGGTAATAAAATGGTGACGTCCTTAGGTGAAAAACATGTAATAAATGTATATAATTTTTAAAGTACAGTAGTCCCTCGTTTATCACGGGGGCTTAGGGAACCACGCCCCCCGCAATAAGTGAAAATCCACCAAGTAAGGATACGGTAGTCAAGGTTCAAGTTCAAGTAAACTTTATTGTCATTACCATCTCATGTGAAATTACCGTATGTACACAAGTAGTAGTTTATTTTAGTATTTATTGTAGCAGTCGTAAGTAGTAGTTTTAGTATTTATATATATAGATGTATATATATATATATATATATATATATAAAGAATTTATGAACCCTTCCCACACTCTTGCAATGTTTTAAACAATGTTTCTAAACTTTAAACGCTCTAAAAGAGCACAGAATGTCATGATCTTCGCTGTCTGCCACGCTGCAATCACACTCATCACCAGTTTCACTCCCAATCTCCCTCCTTCTGTCTAAATAAACAATTTAAATTTAAACAATCCATGCATGTTCATTTAAAATATTACAGTATTTAAATTTAAATTGTAGAGAAGCGCAGCAGGACAGCAAAGGGTTAACCCTTCACGCAGCTGATGCATCACGAAGAAGAAATGTACTTCTGGATCAATTACACTGTAACGACTGAACAGAGAAGTTCCAAAATAATTAAAAATAACTTTTAACACTTTTATATTTTGTGATTACGACGATTTTACGATGTGACATACTTTTCAATTTTAAGTTGGAAGACAAAAGTCGATCGGTGCAGCAGGACAGCAAAGGGTTAACCCTTCAGCTGGAGCAGAAATGTGGGCGTGGCAGAAAGCGGAGATCATGACAGAGGGAGCTTCTTCCTGCACTTAATGATTTAGCAGGTGCTAAATCATTTAAAATGATTTATTTTAAATAAACAATCCATGCCGCTCGTGTGGCTCATCCATCAATCAGCCAGTTGTGTGTCATGTCCACTCTTACTTTGAAAAACCACGAAAGAGTGAGTGCGCGAAAAACGAACCGTGAAGAAGCGAGGGACTACTGTAATTAGAAGTTTTCACTCGTCACAAACAACTTTTGGTAGAATAGAGAAATAACATGTTAAGGCCGAAATGTGCAGGTAGTTGGAGATCCTTTTAAAGTCCACCCATTGGTTTATGAAATATTTTGCTAACAGACAAAAAGGGTGGACTCCAAGTTAATGCCAAAGTTTAAAGCCAAGATCTTTCACAATATGTAGCCCTTATAGCATAGGTAGGGATGACTCTCAGCTACTACCTCAACAAGTTTTAGCTCAATATCTGTAAAACTGAGTTGTAGCCATTTTTGTGTTTGCTAAGATCAGCTATAGGAGCCAACTTGAACTTAATCTGTTGTAGATGCACATCCAACGATTTTGTTCTCCAAGTTTCTTAAAACTTTGTCCACTGCATCATAAGATATTTTGCTAAAAGACAAAAAACACACACAGAGAGACACATGCAAACCACACTGTGCACTACTTGCAAATTACTTGTGTCATCCCACACAGATTGCGAGGTCAGTAAACTAGATGATTGACCAACTGAGTGTTGATTAAAAGAGAATTTTAAAAAAGCCCAAGAAAAAAAAATAAAATAAAAGCATTGAAAGTCGTCCATCACCGGCCGTACGTGGAGTTTAATAGAAGACAAATGCTTGTTAGGAAACGACACAAACACTCAAAGCAAGGCGGTTGGCAGGTTTGATGGAAGGGAGCGTGAGGCGAATAGGAACAAGGCGTCTCTCTCGCTCTACGTGAAGGCCAGAGTTAACGCCGGACAAGCGACGCGGCGGAGAAGCAATCACGGCAGAGCTCATTTTTCATCCTCGACTCAGGCGATCCTAAACAACTAATGTAATTACAGGGGAACTTTCTACTTAATGCCTCAACACAAAAGGCTTCCACCGTTTGGTTAAAAGATTTTTCCTCCAGATTCAATTATTGACCTTTGGCTCAGCAGAGCTGAAGCCTAATGACCAGTTGCATGTTAACTGAAAATTAGCTTCAAGCAGCAGCTTTGCTACACGCTCGCTTTCATTTCAAATGCTTCCAAAAAAAACACTTAAAAAAAAAAGAAGAAGGAAAAAAATTCAATTTAAAACAGCAGGGAGGTATTTCTTATGATTAACAAATATTGATTTGGGGCATCAAAGCTACTTTTTACTTACCAACTCCAATGGCTTGTGTGTGGCTGAACAAAAGGTGAAAATCTGATTTCCAAGTACAGCTAGCACGATGAACCAGTGTGGAAATTCAATCTATACCGACTCATCAGAAAGTAAGTATCGACTGCCACAACGTATAAAACCCAATATATTAACCCAGGGACGAATCAATGAGGCAAAAGTCTAAAGGTACTTTGGTTTCGGAGAGGTACTTTTTAGAAATGTCACAAGAAAAATAAATTCCGCCCGGCCACATGCTTGGGTAAACCGCTACCGATTTCATCTGTAGGGTTTTGTTCGGCTGACTTGTGAGTTTTATGATGAACTTGTTGAGATCCCAGGCAGGTTATAAAGAAATATTTTGTTGCAGATGGCGATTTAAAACAAAATAAATTTGGAGAAACCGTTTTTACTTCTGACCAGATTAGCAAGCTGATAGCTAATTCAAGTGAGGCCAAAACCAGAATGGATCGACAAGTTTAAAAAAAAAAGCGACTTTATCCTCCGAAGTTTCATTGTGGTTCATGCTAATGATACCTTTATAAACCTTGCCATCAGTTTCTTGTTGCAGTAATTTATATATTTGCAAAGTGCAATGCGTGCCAGCAATAATTAGCTGTAAAACTTCTCGTGTGGCCTGCGTCACTTCCATCTGGAGAACCATACTATTCTATGCCAAAATGACCACATATTGCAAAAGTGACAGTGCCTTAAAAATAGATAAAATTAAGATTTGGAAAATTTGCAGTGACGATTCCTTGAGAACCGTCCATCTTGGACAGGATTACGTTAACAGCTAGTTTGAGTAAGTCCAGTTCTAAAGCATTTTATTTATTTATTTATTTTTGTCAGTATTATTGTTGAATATTGCGATGACAAAATCATTTGTGACAAACACACTCCCAAACCCACTGTTACGTGCTTCCCCTCTTATGTACTACAGGAGCCTGCAGCAGCCAAATTAGTCATATTCATTGGGAAAGCCAAATGTCAAAAACCAGGTTAAGAACGCAGCAATATTTTACACCACTACGTTGCATAAGATGGTTATTCCTGCAAAAACATTATATTATTCCAGCTGGAAGTAGCTCAAGTTGAACCAGACATGGAGCTGGAGCACTTGCAAAATATCACATAATTCTGTGTTTATAGTAACGTGAAACTGATGGAGATATAAAAAGTTTATAAATTAGTATTAACATAAGCCACTTTCATATTTTTGAAGTTATTGCTTTAAGATGACAGCAGTCCAATTTAGTTTTGACCTTGCTCAAACAAGCCGTTAGCTTATCAATCCAATCTATCCCAATTTCCAAACTGAGGTCATTCAAAGAGTTATCTCCAAGGCAGTAATTATTCATAATCTGTCCACAGAACATTAAATAATCTAAAGTATCCCTTTAAGAAGACAAACAGAAAAAAACATCTCTGACCATTCCATAGGGAATAAATTTAAAGGTAAAATTAATGTCTCTTTGCATAGGTACTTAATTCCCTAAAATTATTTAGTGTTTGGACAAGTTTTTTTCATCACTGATGGGAAAACTCAAATGCTCACATTACTAATCACACCTAAAATGAACACTGTAGAAAACAAATGGTGGCTTTATAAT